GCTCACAATCATATCAAGTCACTCACACAATTTTTTACTTTATTTATATACACGAGTGAAATTGATTAGACATTTGAATAAAAATCAATATAAGACAATGTACATTCAGAAATAATATTAGTGTTATCAATCGAATACAGTCAGATGGGAAATAAGATGTTTTTATAGTCAAAATAAGTAACTTGTTAGAATGTTATGATGTACGTGAATTGAGATAGAATTTTAAGATTATTTATTATCCTCCTCGGATTTGACTGGTGGTAATAATATCTTCCATATCTCTGGTATTTGAATTGAGTCATTTCTGTTGCATGCATTGGGTGTAGACTCAATGAACCAGGATTCAGTAGTCAATCTCTTTCTCCACCTACCCATATTACTTTTTAGAATTTTTTGACTCTGTCCCACCCTATGGTATGGTTGCGCGTAAATGCGTGCACTGCAGTCGCTCTAAACACATTTAATCCTACTCCAAAAATATGGTGGAGATATGTGGATGACACTTTCACAGTGTTAGAAACAGAATATATCTCTAGCTTTTTGATGCATATAAACTCACTAGTCAAGGGAATACAATTCACATTTGAATCGGAAAATGAACAAGGAGAATTAGCCATGATGTTAGATTTTAGAATAAAACTAATAGAAGAAGGTAAACTGCACACCAGCGTTTATAAAAAGCCAACACATTCTGCTAATCGATATTTGAGCTTTAATTCATCTCATCCGTTATCTGTAAAGGCTGGCTTAGTTAAGTGTCTAACAAACCGAACAGTAGCATTAAGTAGCACAAGAAAAGACCTAAACGATGAAATGAAACAGATAGAAGAGGCGTTGGTGTTAAATAACTATCCTATAATATTCATTAAGAATATCAAAAAAGTGCAAAAGCAAAACAAAAATAAATGGTGAACCTAATAATGATAATGAAAATATTCATTCAGACATATATAACACACAAATTAATTGAGCAAAGAATATCCTTTTCGACAATTTTCTTTTCTGGCAGTACAATTATGAATATGTTTATACATATAGAATATTCTAGAATAGTGGTCAATAACAATATTAGTGTTTTTTAAATAATATCGATTTATAAAGTAAGATCAATGGAATTACAGATCATTAAAGATGCTTAAGTTATAATAATAATAATAAAGATATAGTAGCAAATAGAATTTCAACTAAAATTAGGAAACTTCCACAAAAATTGAATATCATTCAAACCTAGATGACCAAGGTAAGGGTAATGTCTGAACTAACTTCTTTTGGAGGCACATTCGACTTCTTAATATGGATCCCAACAGCCTCAGCAATATTTAGCAATCGAACTCTTAAGGTGAAATTATGATTTGTTGGAATGCGGTTAACAACTCTGAAAGTCTGGTTAACATCAATCTTGTGTTCTGTATCCATAGCGCTACAAATAGATTTTGTTTGACCTTTACTTAACCACGCAGGGTGATGTTCAAAAATCCAACGAGAAACAAGCCTAATTGTACGGCCTACGTAACTGGCTCCACAGGAGCAGTTAAATTGGTAGATACACATGAAAGAGGCGAAATTAAGCAGTTTATCTTTTACTCCCGAACGCAAAACAGTAGTTTTGAAGACACAGAGTAATGCAGCGGCAGGGAATGCTCTTTTTACCGGATTTCTAAGGCGCTGCTCGTTGATGCTCAAGTTGTCGTGATTTCTAAATCTTTAATTGAATTTGAATCCTGATACAGATGTAATAATGATAATAATAATTTACTTTATTCCAAAAACAGTACTTGTAATACAGAATGGAATTTTCAGCATTAATCACAATATTTCATCTAATTTCCTCAAATTTTAAACAAAATTAATCACACAGAAAATTTTCTACACTTACAATAGTGGTAATATAAAAAAAACATGCAGCATATAAAATGGAAATAATAATAATGATAGCAGCTAAGGTAATGATAATAATACAAGTGGAAATTGTCGTGGGCTTGTTTCATACAGTATTATTGATGTGGTATACAAATTCTTGCATGATTAAAAATATTGAATATAATGTTCTCTTTACATGATATGGTGAGGGAAAAAACAAAGATTACAGCAGTCATAGAGATAAGTTGGTGTTTGCAGTTATGAAAGTAAAAACAAAGAGTCGACAGGACCATAAATGTAACAGAAATAATAAAAGTAAAACTTGAAGGTATATAAGGATGGATGGAGGAGATTGTTTATTTACTAGATGAAAAAAGGTTAGTCAATTCTTGCCTGACGCTATTTTCATCACATAAAATACGTGCCAAGTATGGTATCATAGAATTTTTATACTTAGACGTGCGAGCATACAGTTCTCTGAAGTTACTTCTCGTTCTACCTGGGGAGATGCAAGGTGAAAGCTGAGGGTGAAGTGGATGCTCCAAGTCAGACAAAATCCCTTTAGCAAATTTACTGCACGAAGTCAAATGCCTATCGACAACGACGTTAACTATGTAGTCCACTGCGACACCACTCATCCTACTGACAGTCTTCAGCATTCTACGAATTGTGACAAAGTCCTTTTTAAGCAAACCAGGAAAGAATAAGGGTGAACAATAAAGAAGAATAGGTAGGATGCAAGAGTTTATGAACTGTAAGAGGAGGGGTTGAGTTATACCCGAGTGCCTTAACTTCTTAATGTAAAATGTCAGGCGGAATATTTTACTGGAGATCGCTGAGACATGGGAAGTATGTGAGTGATGGTTAACTAACTTGTAGTAAAAGGTGAAGTCTAAGCTAATTCGTGTTTTCCAGACCAGATCTAAACTCACTCTGTTTTAAAAAACCGTAGTTCTTTAAACCATGCCGCATACTGCGACAAACAGGGACTGACGGAAGCCAACATTGTATTTTGGTGGTGTTTTCTTCCACATGCACTGACTGCGATCTGGTCAGTCTTTTCCCTGACTGCTTCGATATTGTGTAGAGGACCTAATAGCAAGCTCGGTAACGGAACAAATATTTAAACAAAAATAATAATAATATAATACTGTATCGTTATACAGTTAAAGTCCGCTGCTACAAATTTTTAATATAATCCGCAGAAGAGTTTACTGCTGGAGTCGTGTCTACTAGTAGGAGCTGTGCACCGGTTGTAGAATAGTCTTTGGATGAGGATGAGAGGTTCCTGCAAAAATCCAAAGGATACTACACGGTTAGTAATGAAGCAAGTAGACAGTATGGACCAGTGCGAAGACGAAGCGTCGAGCAGCCCGCTGTATTTTAGATTGTACTCTGAATTTATGTATATTTTACAATGAATCGTTTTAAACATAAGTTATGTACAGTGTTTCCATTTTTAATATCTAACAAAAAGGTGTACAATCATATTGCTCGAGACTCCACAATTATCATTATATCTGATGCAGTGTCTATTTGTAGGTATGCCAGCTACGAGTTCATTGTTACCTATGTGAATTTATGTGATGCAGGACTACTGATGCGATAAGTAGTTGTCGTACTCATATCCTTGGAAATGGAGCACCGACAGGGCCAGCTCATGGATTTCGGTCGATTAATCTGATCACATCACCCATTATAGTGACCTACAGTATAGGATTCTTGTCACTGATTTTTTTCGGTGGGTATGACTTCAGACGGAAGGAAATATTTTGACGTCCGTGATATGTCTGACCCACATCAGTCGGTCCACTGTCATAAACCCATCACTAGCAAACTTATTCTCTCACAAGAATTTGGGTATTCAAACTGAACTTTTTCTTAACCTATGGATTTAACAATGCAGAGTATTTATTTAATTATTTTTTTGATTACAGCTTGATTCCACATCATAATTTTGGTACAAGTGTGGAATTTTCAGCATGTGATATCGGTTGCCCAAATTTTGCAGGCCAACCATTGATATCAGGTGTGCATCGGCAGGGGATCGAACTCCGGACCATGTTTATCGTCGGCGAGAGTCCTAACCACTGTGCCACCGACACAGTACCAGCATGACGAAGGTCATTTGGATTGATAACAATGCATTGTGTACGACACTGATGGCACCACATTCCATTCTGCGGTGTTTTGAATGTCAGATAAGACCAAGGTAGCATTTCTGTGAAGGTTGTCTAGCCTCTAGCGTTGACACGTGCAGCTGATTATACCTAACCGTGTGTGAATGTTATCGTTTTCGTTCAACACACATTTCATAAAATGGTATCGTATGTTGGATAGCAAACTATTATCACTGAAGGGCTGATGCAGTGTCAGGATGGTTTCTTCGAATGTTCCTTCACTGGGCTTCCGAGGTAGAATCAAACTGCAATATTTTTATAATTCATCCGTGTCTAAATTCTAAAGTAGAAGTCTAACTTTCCAGCTGTCATCTCTGCTCATAAAAGTTACCCTAAATATGTCTTTGTATCTGCACAACCACATATCAAATGTAGTGTCTGCATCTGGATCAAGAATAAATTCAAATATGCTCTTCCCAACATTGTCATCGGATGGAGATGAAGATTTGCACCGGGATCACAAAACTGTTTGTTCAGTTTTATGAGTTGGTGTTTGCATGAAAGCTCAGTTAACTAAATTCCTCTCATTTATAATTTTCAGTCTTTGGTTAAATGTATGTGTCCACCATCTATTTTGGCTATTCACATTTGACATAGAAATAAAATAAGATTTAACTGATGCCATCTGGGTGGCTACATTCTTCAACATATTTTTTTGTGAAAATCACATTAGGGCAAGTTTAATACAAGTGTTTTATCTACTGTATACCGTCTGTACGAATACTAGAAAATAAATCAAGTTAGTGATTTTCATAATTCTGTGCTAAGCTCTTTAATCTTAAGCCCATTTAAGTATACAGATAGCAGCGCCTTTGACTGATAAATCAGATCCAAGCTTTACTATTGGATGACATAGTTATAACCTGTGTGATTTGTTTAGGTTATTAACCAGTAGAATTTAACTTTCAATTATGCATAAAATCACCTGATTTCATATGACTAACTGAATAAAAACTGAGCTGCAAGCAACTAAACAGTACATATTTATTCTACAAACATTCGCCCAGTAAACGTTTTCTAAAAATGGGTACATTTGCTGGACATGTGTTCCCTGGGAGCGTTTTCATCTTTTTTGGTTTATGGTCTGTTTGGAATATAACAGAAAAATTTAACCGACGAAAACGTTATGATTTAAACAGGCCCAGAGAATCAATTCCATTATTTATCAATAGAATATCATTTCCAATTGTGAGAAAAACTTCCAATAAGCACAACTGCTGTATAAAAGTTATACCACTTGATTCAGTCTTAAAAATCTTATGTTGCATAATTGTATTGTGCGAAGAAGTTCAGTTAGGCTTTAAAAAAGACTGGACGAATGTGGATCCCCATAGTGCACAACATGTCAGTATGATCTCTTTATTTGGAGTAAGTGGCGTTGCTGAAGTATGCATACTTTATGGGGTATTGAAAATTCCAGTGTAAGTGAGTATATTCTCGTTGTTGTTGAAATAGTTTATAAATATTTATATTTCATGAAGCTGTTATCTAGTTGAAGACTGACGCCCACGTGTCTTCTTTAGGGATTCCAATTGCAGCTTGTCCATCGTACAAATTTCAAATAGTTATGTCCAAGACATCTGAAGTCACACTCTATCTGACACGGCAGTATTTCACAGTGACAAACAATTTATGATATATTAAGTTGATTCTACACAAACTGACTAGTTTGGATAAATCCGACGATCAAGTCTAAGAGATTTACCAACCAGTAAACTACAAACCTAGTAGCATGATAACGGTGGAGAAATAAAGTGCTCAAGATCCCTTATTATTATTATTCCCTTGGGTTCCAAGTTGAACATAAGGCTTCAACAACACATCTCCACTTTGTTCTATTCGGTGCTGTCCTCTTCAGCTGGGTCGACGATTGCACATAATCTCCCATCTCCTCCTCACACGACCTCCTCCATGTCACCCTCGAAGGACCTACTCATAGCTTCCCATTGGAATTCCACTCGAGCAATGACCTGGCATGTGATGTCATTCGACGGCCTCCTCAACGTATGCCTAATCCTTCTCCATTTTCTCCTACATATTTGTTGAGCAATCGGCTCTTGATTGGTTTGTCTCCAGCCAGAGTTTCTTGTTGCTAATTCTTTCTAGTCAGCCATTTTATCTTCAATCAATATGGAGCCAGAAAAGGGAGCTGTCGATAAAAGTTTGCAACCTGTTGGACATCCTTTTCGTGACACGCCAAGTTTCTGACCCATAATGAAG